ATATCCGTATCTATCATACTGCAATTTCATTTGGGCGAGCACTTACACAACTTCAATTAAACCACTCTATCAACTGCAAAAACACTTTGTTAGAATTGCAGCTAACACACACTTCACAGCACACTCAGCACCTCTGTTTCGTGAACTAAAAATCATAAATGTATATGACTTAAACAAATTACAAATAGCCATTTTTGTTCATAAAATCGTTCATAATACCAATAGTTTACCAGATCAATTCAACACTTTTTTTACATTCAACTCAGACATTCACCAGCACAATACGAGACAACATAACCATTTAAGGCCGATCAAGACTAAATCTACACAAAAACAATTCTCAATAGCGTATAGAGGCCCCATCGTCTGGAATAAGTTAAGCCAACTGTTACAAAACTGTCAGTCAACTCCTGTATTTAAAAAACTTCTTAAAAACTTTTTCCTACAAAATCCCAGTACATCCACAATCTGATTTGTTTGTTTTCCTTGTTATTGTTAATATTTTGTTTTAATCGTTAATTCTTATGTTAATTATTTAATCAGTTTAATCTGTAACATCTACCTGAGTTACAGGTATAAGACTTTTGTTTAATTTCGTTTTAGTTAGTTTATACACCTCAGTTATTATTTCTGTGTCTTGATTTTGTTTAATTACTCATTGTTTAATTATTTCATTGTTTAATTTTGATGTTTAATTTAAATATGTTTTGTCATAAGTTATCTTTGCTTGGGGTAGGCCTCTAGAAAAACCACCCAGGTTTCTGGCTTACCCCGCACATTCTTTGATTATTATTATTTGATTGTGTAATTGTTTTTAATATACGTGCAAATGGTAAATAAACAAATAAACAAAATAAACATTCTGCAAGTGCATAGGAAAAATCGATCTAGGTCACTATATTCTAGGCGACTTTAAAACAGTCAATAACAGTAAAAAGCGACATTTTCATTGATGCAGACGTGTCATATAAACACACATTCATAGATAGAGGTACAATCGTGCAGTCTTACCTTGAGTGCGCATAACTGTGCTCCAAACTGACGAATCTGACAGAAAATATGAGCCACACCCAGCCCAGATGTGTGGACATGGGTTCTGTAATATTAACCGTTCAGCAGAGGGTGTGCGAGGGGTCTGATGAACACGCGTGTTGCTTTTACTTGTTCATAGACCTGTGGCTGTTAGAAGCTGTAAACCGCTCTATTATTTAGCTACTTTGACGTAATGGAAAATGATTTACGCTTTTTGTGCTGCTCAATTTTTTCCGTGATGGCTTCATCAGAAAACAATCGTCTTGGGGCAAGTTTCGTTGTTTTTTTCCTTTCAACTGACCGATGCTCAACTTTAAATGGTCTCCCCTTCGAAAGACGACATGGAATCACCATATTTGTGTAGAGCGCCATACAAGAGGGGGATAGAAAAGACGACCAACCGATTGTTATTTTTAGCAGGCAATCTTCAAACCTTTACTCGAGCATATCTTTCGCTGAATCTCAGAAACCCCTTTAGATCCTCCCTGTCTACGGTCCTTCACCCCACTCCTTCTAAATGCACGGCCCTGTTCTCTCTTCTATCTGACCAGACAATGCAAACATCTCTGCGGCCCCGGTATGGATAAGGACTCAGTCACCTGAGTCGTCCAGGTGTCCCCTGCCTCTGGACCAAGACCTTCTTTCACTGCTGACCTACTTTATACTACAGCCATATCGGTGCACGCCTTACCCGTGTGTGTGAGAGAAATCATTGCAAATGGGTGTGTAAAACAAACAAAAAAAGTGGCGCAGGTATTTTATAACCAAAAGAGACTGTTAGTCTCTACAAGTGTTCATTTTACTAATGATGTTTGATGTTATGGTACTAATGAGGTATGATGTTAAAAAACATTCGGCGACGTCATGTTATGATAATGTGTCTAACTGCATAACTTGTATTTCTAGTGTAACGAAAACATGGAAGTTTGAGCAAGTTGGATCAAAACACACAGACCTATCGAATTACTTATAGTTGAAGCACAGAATCCTTACTTTCTCACCTCTAGTGACCGGTGGGGGTACTGCAAGTCACTCTCTGACCCGGAACGGTATGTTTTGGTCTCTGCCGTGTACTGCGGTATTTTTAATACGGGTCTCTCGGTAAATATACAGGTGGAGATACCGGCTGAACAATGCTGAAACTTGTACGTTCATCACATTGGGTAGTCCCATTCCTTCCTTCCTTCCTTCCTCCCTTCCTTCCTTCCTTCCTCCCTTCCTTCCTCCCTTCCTTCCATCCTTCCTTCACTCATTCATCAATCCAATCACCATGGAGCCATCAAATAAATACCAACAATGTAACATTTACACCGATGTAGGTTTATTACCTTGTGCCTAATATATTACACATGTGCTGCTTTTGATAAAGCTTCCTTCTTCAGTTGTCCAACAACTTTTTCTAACAACTACACGATGAAGCCTGTTCAAGGTCATGAGTTTCTTTTGAATGGCAAGACGGCTAGGCCTATTTCAGTCTATCACTTCCTATGGATCTGTCTATGGATCTGACTGGATCAAAAGTGCACACTTCCGTCTTTACAGACTATGACGGCGTCCAGGTTTCACTCTTCCCAACCATGTTCTTGTTTCTACTGACAATGGTATGTCTTGGTTCCAATACTTGTGAACAGAGGCTCTGCCCAATTTCCAATGTGACTTGTAAGCCCTATTGTTAGACCTTGAGACAGAAACTCTTCTTGGCGATTGGTATGCGCTCCTCCGCCGGTCGCTGCTTCTCTTAGCCACATCGTACGAAGTGTTGTCTCGACCCTCCTGCCTGACTCTCCAGCCT